CCTAACAGATATGATCTATGTCTGGAATAATTTTTCTCCAACTTTTCATTGGCCTGTGCTGCCAGTAGCTTAACACTGTCTGCTTTAGGCATGTCAACTTTTAAGAGTAAAGAAAGTCAGAATTTGGGAGTATGAAGCAGAAATTCAAATGTGGTGTAATATAAACTGGAGAGGGCTAACCCAAAACCTTGGCCCAGTATATTCATTACCCCAGTGTATTACTGTATGATTTCTTTATCTATGCAGAAATTTGCCCTACTTGAGAAAAAGTCTGTACTCGAGTTATCTCCTTGTGTGAGCAACAGACTTGGATTTATTTGTCCAGAGGACGTGATCTTTTCCTACTTTCATCAATCCCTAATAATGTGTTTTCAACCCTGACCAGAGACACCAGCATAAGGAGCACACTTGAGATCTTAAATCCATTTCAGAGCTGTGGTCTGTGCTGCCCCTTTTCTTATTTCTGCAATAAACAACAGGAATGGTTCTCCTATTTTCCTTATCTTTCATCCTTTCCATCCTTTTCTCCTTTTATTTTGTTTTGCTTTGTTTTTTTTCTTTTCTCCTTTTCAGACAAAGCCATGTCTGACATGTGGGTGAGATTTATTTATACTCCTGTCAAATGGTTTGGATACTAAGTAAGGCTGACAAAAGAAGATAGAAAATATTTATTTTCTGATTTATTTAGGTATTGGTTGGATTATTTTTGTTTGGATAACAGCCACTGCATCTTTATTGAGCTTTATTTTTAGTAAACGCTGAAAATAAATTATGTAACACAAAGGAAGGAAGTGAGACATACAAACACGGATACCCAAAGAAATCTACGGCCATAAAGCATCATTATTTTTTTATATATTCATTTCTTCTGTTGATTCAGCTTGTGGTCCAAGACTTTCAAATTATTTGGCTGTAGCATAATCTATACCATCTTTTTGAAACCTGTTCTTACAGCCCAAACTGACAATTGAATCTCTGCAAAGAAGGTTGTGAAATTTTGCATGATGCTATGCTGGTGGATTTTGCACTGACATTTTATGTCTGAATTATTACTTCTTTAGAGAAGTTGTTTATGTAATTTGGTGGTTTCTTTGTTGAGAGCAAATAGAACAGAAATGAGCTACATTATCCCAATTGTCGGTAAAATAATAAAGTCAAATGAAAATATCTGTGGAACTGGAAGAAGGTATAAAATATGTCATACTTTTTCATGTTTGTTTGTCTACTAATCTGGGACCATCAAATACTGTTTTTTTAGTTCAGACTGGAACAGAACAACAGCTCTTCATACTATGGCATAGAACTTCTTGTTCTCTGTGCCTTTATTTCAGCAGCAGGTTTTGGTACTAGCATGTTATGAAATACTGTTAAAATTAATGGAGTTATTATTAATTTCAACTGTTGTGGTCCATGAGTTTAAAATCAAAATAATTACAGGAGCATTTTCAACCCTAACAGGTTGTGGGTTTTTTCTGGCTCTTTCTTTAGCCCTGTACCTCATATTCTCAGAAATACAAAACTTTAGCTATTTGCATTTCTCAATAACTCATTTCTCAGTGTTCTGGAAAACTCTCCTGCAGTCATTTGTGCTAATCTGGGAGCAGTGGTGGCTTTTCAGGAGCCATTGTGCATAAACAACTGCAATATCGATGGTGTGGTGGAATATATCCCATGAGAAGAGGGGTGAGGAAAGCAGCCGCCCTTGGGAGGATGCTGGCCTCCTTTGGGTTGCAGTTACCCTCTGCCTGTTAAGAGGAGGTGGTTTATCCCTTAGGTATTTGGCTGGCTCTTCTGGATGGGCTGGGGCAGCAGGGAGACTCAGGAGACAATGGTCATGAGCCATGATAGTAGCAGCATTAGGCTCATAGTTCTCATACCTTCTCGATATAAAAGCTTGTACCATCCTCCTATAAAGGGTGGACAAGGGAAGGGGAAACCTTGGAGTACTGTCATCCTTTGGGCAATAGGGACCAGGAATAAGGTCCTTCTTTGTGTTTGAAAAAAACTAATTGTGGTTAACAGGTTCCTTTTGCTTCTGGGACAGGTACTCACCAGTGCAGAAGTGAATGAAAAAAAGTTTTATCTGTCTGATCAGGAAATATTATGTTCTGACATTAATTGTCATTAAAAAATGAATTTACATGCATCTCCTTGTGTTTTTGTTTTACAATCCTAGATTGGTGAATTATTGAGCACCACACACCCTGCCAACAAAGCCAGCCTAACTCTTTTCTGCCCTGAGGAAGGGGACTGGAAGAATTCCAACCTTGACAGACACAACCTTCAAGACTTTATTAACATTAAACTCAACTCAGCTGCCATATTGCCCGAAATGGAAGGACTCTCTGAATTCACAGAATATCTGTCAGAATCAGTAGAAGTGCCATCACCCTTTGACATTTTGGAACCTCCAACCTCAGGAGGCTTCTTGAAACTCTCCAAACCCTGCTGTTATATTTTCCCAGGGGGAAGAGGGGACTCTGCATTGTTTGCAGTGAATGGATTCAACATGCTTATCAATGGAGGATCCGAAAGAAAATCTTGCTTTTGGAAACTTATCCGACACTTGGACAGGGTAGATTCCATTCTCCTTACTCACATCGGAGATGACAACCTGCCAGGAATCAATAGCATGCTTCAGCGAAAGATAGCCGAACTGGAAGAGGAACAGTCCCAAGGGTCTACTACCAACAGTGACTGGATGAAAAATCTGATCTCACCTGATTTAGGAGTTGTATTCCTTAATGTACCTGAGAACCTGAGGAACCTGGATCCTAGCTTTAGAGTAAAAAGGAGTGTAGAAGAAGCTTGTTTTACTCTCCAGTATTTAAATAAATTGTCTATGAAACCAGAACCTCTTTTCAGAAACGTGGGAAATACCATTGACCCCATCATTTTATTTCAGAAAATGGGAGTTGGCAAGCTTGAGATGTATGTGCTTAATCCTGTCAAAAATAGCAAAGAGATGCAATATTTTATGCAGCAGTGGAGTGGTACTAACAAAGACAAAGCTGAATTCCTTCTACCAAATGGCCAAGAACTAGACATTCCATTATCCTACTTCACCTCCGTCTCGTCCCTGATTGTGTGGCATCCAGCTAATCCTGCAGAAAAAATAATCCGAGTTCTGTTTCCTGGAAACAGCACCCAATATAATATTCTAGAAGGACTAGAAAAACTCAAACATTTAGACTTCCTTAAACAACCAATGGTTACACAAAAAGACCTAACTGGGAACATTGCTAGTCCGGCTGTGAAACAAGCGAAGTTGAAACAACGAACAGACAGCAAGGAGAGTCTCAAGCCTGTTGCAAAGACACCACCAAGCAAGCCTGTCAGAAAAGAATCTAAAGAAGAAGCACCAGAGCCTGTGAAACCTAGCCCAGCACCTGAAAAGCCTCAGAAGTTGGAAAGCAAAGAAAAAGTTCCGGTTAAAAAAGAGAAACCAGCAAAAGTGGAGACCAAAGCTGTAGTGGCAGAAAAAGACATAACAAGTAAAGAAGAACAATTAGTAAAATCTGAAACTCCTGAAAAACAAGGTACAGATGTAAAACAAAAAATGTCAAAGGAGAAGCCAGTGAAAAAGGAAGTCAAAGCAAAACCTGAAGAAAAGAAAGAGGAAAAAGAAAAACCAAAGAAAGAAGTTTCTAAAAAAGAGGAGAAAACACCCATCAAAAAAGAGGAAAAACCCAAAAAAGAAGAGATGAAGAAAGAAGTTAAAAAAGAGGTGAAAAAGGAAGAGAAGAAGGAAACTAAGAAGGAAGTAAAGAAAGATACTCCACCAAAGGAAGCTAAAAAAGAAGCTAAAAAAGAAGAGAAGAAGGAAATTAAGAAGGAAGAAAAAGAAGCCAAAAAAGACATCAAAAAGGTTCCTAAAGAAACAAAGAAGATAGCTGCTCCTTCAACTGAAGGCAAAAAGCCAGCAGCAAAGCCTAAACCACAAAAGAAGGAGGAACCTGTGAAAAAAGAAGCAGTACCTGCTGGAAAGCCAAAGGAAAAAGGAAAAGTTAAGACTGTGAAGACAGAGATCAAAGTCAGTGGAGCACAAGCTGCCCTTGCAGCAGTTGGAGTCGCTGCCACAACTGTGGCAGGTGTAACAGCCAGTGGAAAGGAAATTGAAGCGGAGAGATCCCTTATGTCTTCACCAGAGGACTTAACAAAGGATTTTGAGGAATTAAAAGCTGAAGAAGTAGAAACAATAAAAGAAACAAAACCTCAAGTTGCACTTATAGAGGATGAATTGAAACTCACTGGCACAGTACAAAAAGAGGCCTTTGAGGTACAAAAAGAAAAATTAGATCATGAAGGACCTGCTGAGTCCTCTGATGAAGGCATTACTACCACAGAGGCTGAGGGTGAGTGTGAACAGACACCTGAAGAGTTGGAACCTGTGGAAAAGCACAGGGTTGATGAAAATGAAAAGTTTGAAGATGAGGGAACTGGCTTGGAAGAATCATCTGAAGCAGGAGATTATGAAGAAAAGGCAGAGACAGAAGAAGCTGAAGAACGAGGTGAAGATGAAGAAGAAAAGTCACCACTGGAAACCACAAAACCATATATGGAAGAAGCAAGAAAAATTGGAGAGAGCTCAGAAGAAATAATGGCTGAAGAAGATGCTAACATTAAAGATGAAAAGTATATTGAAAAGGCAGATTATGAGGCATCAGATGAACGAGCTGAGGAAGACAGGGAAGAAGCAATAGAGAAGGCAGAAACTGAAGAGACTGAAGAAGAGGAGGAAGACAAAGCAGAAGACATCAGAGATGAAGAGGAAAATGAAAAAATAGAAGCTGAAGAAGATTATGTGATGGCTGTGGTAGACAAAGCTGCAGAAGCTGGTGCAGTTGAAGATAAATATGGCCTACTCATAATTACACCAACAAAGCGGTCAGAGCCTCAGTCTCCAGCAGTTGAACCAGCCTCTTCTATCCATGATGAGACATTACCTGGTGGTTCAGAAAGTGAAGCCACTGTTTCTGATGAAGAAAATAGAGAAGATCAACCTGAGGAATTCACTGCTACTTCAGGTTACACACAGTCTACTATCGAAATATCCAGTGAACCAACTCCAATGGATGAAATGTCAACACCCCGGGATGTCATGAGTGATGAAACTAATAATGAGGAAAGCGAGTCACCCTCTCAGGAGTATGTGAACATTACCAAGTATGAGACATCACTATACTCTCAAGAGTTTGGCAGACCTAAACTTTCTCCACTTCCGGATGCTTTTAATGGATTATCTGAAGGATCCAAAACAGAGGTCACAGAAGGTAAAGACTATAATGCCTCAGCTTCCACCATCTCACCACCTTCTTCATTAGAGGAAGACAAATTCTGCAAATCTGCATTCCAAGATGTATACCGGCAAAAAGAAAGTGAGATTCAAGGCACTGCTAAATTAGAAATCAAAGAATCCTATCAAGAAGATATTGGTGGAAAACGTAGTCCAGCCAAGAGTCCAGCTGAGAGTTTGTCCCCTCCATCACCTGTTGCCAAAACACCACTGAGTGAACGTAGTGTGAACTTTTCGCTCACTCCCAATGAGATCAAGGTCTCGTCTGAGCCCATCCCCATTGCTACATTGCCTGATGTACATCAAGAAGTTGCTGAAGAGCACTGTGCAAGCCCTGAAGATAAAACGTTAGAAGTAGCATCTCCCTCACAGTCTGCTGCTGGTAGTGCTGGCCACACACCTTATTATCAGTCTCCCACTGATGAAAAGTCCAGTCAGCTTCCCTCTGAAACCAGTGAAAAGTCAACAGAAGCTCCTGTTAGCTTTGAATTCAGTGAAGTCAAAGATGAGTCTGCAAAACCCAGAATAAGCCCTATGGATGAACCTGTGCCAGATTCAGAATCTCCTATTGAAAAGGTCCTCTCACCTCTACGGAGTCCACCACTGATAGGTTCAGAGACCTCTTATGATACATTTTTGAGTGCTGATTTAAAGTCTCCCTGTCCTTCTGAGGGGAAACCTGAAAAAGAAAAATCACCTGTTCAGTTGAGCCCAGCTTCTGAAGATAGCTCTGTGGGCCTTTTCCAAGAAAAACAAGATGAAAAAAGCATGGAGTTTATGGTAATTAAGGAAGGCTTCAGCCTAGAAAGGAAAATGGAAGATACAGAACCCAGCAGCTCCCAGTCTTCACTGGTCTTGGATGAGCGGAAGTTAGCAGGTGATCTTTCACCCACTCAAATAGATACCAGTCAGTTTGGTTCTTTAAAAGAAGATACCAAAATGTCAATTTCTGAAGGGACTGTTTCTGACAAGTCTGCAACTCCTGTTGATGAGGTTGTAGCAGAAGACACCTATTCCCATATAGAAGGAGTAGCTTCTGTCTCTACAGCATCTGTTGCTACTAGTTCATTTCCAGAACCAACTACTGATGATGTATCTCCTTCATTGCATGCTGAGGTTGGATCTCCCCACTCTACTGAAGTTGATGATTCCCTTTCAGTGTCAGTTGTACAAACACCAACAACTTTTCAGGAAACAGAAATGTCTCCATCTAAGGAAGAGTGCCCAAGGCCCATGTCAATTTCTCCACCAGATTTCTCACCTAAAACCTCAAAATCAAGAACGCCAGTGCACGATCAGAGATCTCCTGAGCAGTCAACTATGTCAGTAGAATTTGGTCAGGAGTCCCCTGAGCAGTCTTTAGCAATGGACTTTAGTAGGCAATCTCCAGAATATCCTACTGTAGGCACTAGTATACACCATATATCTGAAAATGGACCAACAGAAGTAGATTATAGCCCTTCAGATATACAGGAGCCTACTTTTGCACAGAAGATTTCCCCTGTAGAGCAGTCATCTTACTCTCAGGAGAAAGATATTTCAGAAATTATTTCAGTTTCTCAAATTGAAGCTTCATCCTCAACTTCATCAGCTCATACACCTTCCCAGGTGACTTCACCACTGCCAGAGGAAACTTTTTCAGGTGCTCTTCCACCCAGAGATGTGTCACTACATTCTTCTTTTACCTCAGAAAAGGTGCAGAGCCTAGGAGAAAAGCTGTCACCAAAGTCTGACCTATCTCCATTAACTCCAAGGGAATCTTCTCCTCTGTACTCTCCTAGTTTTCCAGATTCACCTCCTGCAATCACAGAAGCGGTGTCAGCTAGTCACACACCTTCGTTGTCACTGCAAGTGTCCTCCGTCAAAGCATTTGGTTACCAGGAGCCGATAACAAAGCACAGTCCAGAATCTTTACTCAGCCCAGAAAAAGATGATTCAGAGAAAAGCAGCAGGTCACCAGAAGAACTTAGTTATTCTTATGAGGTCACAGAGAAAACTACTAGGTCACCAGAGGATATTAGCTACTCCTATGAGGCAGTTGGAAAATCTACTAGATCACCTCAGGCCACAGATTATTCCTATGAGACAACTGGGAAAACTACTAGGTCACCTGAGGCCACAGATTATTCCTATGAGATAATTGCAAAAAATATGAGGTCATCTGAGGCCACAGATTATTCTTATGAGATGACAGGGAAAACCACCAGGTCACCAGGGGCCACAGATTATTCCTATGAGACAACAGGGAAAATCACCAGGTCACCTGAGGCTACAGATTACTCCTACGAGACAACAGGGAAAACCACTAGGTCCCCCGGGGACACAGATTATTCCTATGAGACAACAGGGAAAACCACCAAATCACCTGAGGTCACAGATTATTCCTATGAGTTAATTGGGAAAACCACCAAATCACCTGAGGCCACAGATTATTCCTATGAGAGAACTGGGAAAGCTACCAGATCACCCGATACTGTGGATTACTCCTATGAGACAACAGGGAAAACCACTAAGTCACCAGAAGCCATTAGCTACTGCTATGAGACAACTGGGAGAACCAGGTCACCAGAGGCCGTGGCTTACTCCTATGAGACAACTGGGAAAGCCTCTAGTTCACCTGAAGCCACAGATTACTCATTTGAGATGACTGGGAGAGCCACCAGGTCACCTGAAGCTACTAGCTACTCCTATGAAGCCAGTGCACATTTCACTCCAGGAAAATCGTTAGCAGAATCCCGTCAAGATGTTGACTTATGCCTTGTATCCTCTTGTGAATATAAACATCCCAAAACTGAACTTTCACCCTCATTTATCAACCCAAACCCCCTTGAGTGGTTTGCAAGTGAAGAACAGTCTCAAGATCAAGAGAAGCCACTAACTCAATCCGGGGGAGCCCAGCCACCTTCTGGGGGAAAGCAGCAAGGGCGGCAGTGTGATGAAACCCCTCCCACATCCGTGAGCGAGTCTGCCCCGTCTCAGACGGATTCAGATGTTCCCCCAGAGACTGAGGAATGTCCTTCCATCACTGCAGATGCTAACATTGACTCAGAAGATGAGTCAGAAACCATTCCGACGGACAAGACAATTACGTACAAACACATTGACCCGCCGCCTGTCCCGATGCAGGATCGCAGCCCCTCCCCTAGGCACCCTGATGTTTCCATGGTTGATCCAGAGGCTCTGCCTGTTGATCAGAATTTGGGTAAACCTTTGAAGAAAGACCTCAAAGAAAAGACAAAGACAAAAAAGCAGGGTACTAAGACCAAGTCATCTTCTCCTGTTAAAAAAAGTGATGGTAAATCAAAACCAGTGGCTTCACCAAAGCCAGCTATAAAAGAATCTTTAGATAAAATTTCCAAAACAGCTTCTCCAAAAAAGAAGGAGTCTGTGGAGAAGGCAACCAAAAATATCTCTAATCCAGAAGTAAAGTCTCGAGTGGATGAGAAAGATAAGGACACCAAGAATGCAGCAAATACAACATCCAAGTCAGCAAAGACTGCAACCACAGGTAAAGACAGATAGCAGTTCCCTAGTGTTAAGATTTTCTTAGTTGTTGCAGTGCAGTTAGTTTGCCTTTATATCAGCTGAGAATGTGGTTTGTAGCAAATTCCCAAAGTCCAAGTTTTAAATATAAATCTAGCAAGTAAAGTCCACATCTAACTGCATGAAATGCACTAAATTAACTTCTGTATTCTGAGAAACTTAATGTTTCAATTTGCTCAGAGAGTATATGAAATATAAAGAACTTCATTCCAGCTGTCTAAACTGTTAACAAACTAATAGAATTACAAGTACCACTTTTGTAGGTGAAGTGAAATCGGTAGCAAAGTGAACCACTTTATTCATTATAAGAAACAAGCAGGCACAATTCTCTTAACATAAATTAATGTGATTTAATATTGTGGGAGGCAAAGGTACTGTCGGCTATTGGATGCTCTTATTACTTTGCTGGATTACTTTTAATGCAAGTATTTTAAAAAATTATAACAGTAGTAAGAGCATTTTCAATGAACTAAGCATGTACATCATATAATCCGGTTAAAGTCTTATGCCATCAGTGATGACTAAACATACAGAAAGTTAATGTGATTTTGAATGACTGTTGTGTATTCTAAGTAGTAATAAAATATGAATTGGATTACTGAAGGAGGCATTGTGCTATTCTGTTGTTTCCAGCAGATCTTGTTAGAGAGTGTTTGGGGGATACTTTAATTTTGCTGTTGTCAGGACTGATGTACTGTTGAAAGTTTTTTTACAAGGAGCAGGTCTAGGATTCAGTACAAACAAACCAGCATTCAACTGTCTTTATCTTCCCCATTGTAAGTGGTCCACTGTTCTTTCTTACACCATCTTTTGCATGTCTCTGTTAGTAGATGCGTTTCAAAGCAGCAGTACAGTTCCTCATGCTCTACATTTCTCTAGCACTTTAGCTCTATATGAGATTCTTCTTCCTTAAAGCATACCTTGTGAGGTATACACTAGAGCAGAAGACAAGGCTCTATCTGATAATGACATTTAAGTGTAAAATGTAACATCTTAGTATTTTATCCAGTGTTGGTACCCACAAGTCAGAAGGATATATCATAGATTTTTTATCATAAAAGATGATAAAAGATTTTGTAACTTAACCAGTAGTAAAAGCTCTCTAATTCAGGAAATCTTATTATATCATGATGCTTATTTGGCATGTTGCCCTATGATGAATGGCAGAACAAGCTAGACAGCTGTAATGGAATTTGCTGGCCTTACAGTATGTGACCCTAAATAGAGTGTATTGCTCAGATAATTGTTTTCCAAACTTCATCCTCTGTAACAACACAAGAAGGCTAATAGAACATAAACAGTGATTATCTGGATAAGACTACTGTTTGAATCCTGATTTTCAGTTTACACCATGATCCAGTGCGTGGCAAAATCCACTTTTTTTTGGTGCAGTATTTTTAATATATTTAAACTTTGAACTTCTTTTTGACTGAAGCTCTTGTTAGAACAAGTGCTGTACGATGTACAGCAGCAAAACCATGCTTCCTCCTACCTTTTGTGATAAGTTGCTAATTTGAGTACGCAAATAAGGATTCAGCAGACAAACACTTATTCTCAGTTCCCTGAAGTAACTGCTTTACAAGTTTCTCTGTCCTCCCAAGTTCGTCTTTGCCCCTCTTTCTGCTCACATGTAGTGTCTTCCTGATGCACCTGTAAGGCAGCCTGAGCATATCAACAGCTACTATGCCTTGCTATGTGCTGATACCCCAAATCTCAGGACTGCTTCAAATCTGCATGGCTCCCTGTGTGACCCTAGGTTTTATAGTTGTGTGTACCTGAGACTTTCAAAAGCTGTACTTCTTAACCTGGAAAATAATACCACCGTTTATTGAATGGTAATTCAGTAATCACAGCCCTGCATAGTAATTATTGGAAAATAGTGGTATATTACTGGGAAAGGTTCAGTTAATTGTTGGTTATGTGGTAGTGAGTTTTTATTGTATTATATAGTTACAGTTATTCAGATTTTTTCCTCCCATTACAATCATAATTGGAATACAACAGAGCTGGAACATGTCATTAGGTGTAGGAGGGTAATGCCATAACTGGACACATCTCACCTCAGCAGTTATAACAGTAATGAATAAATGCATGTTTTTAACCAGCCTGTGATATATGCTTTTTTTTTTATTTCTGAAGGACCTGGGAATACTAAGGTGGCAAAATCTACAGCAGTGCCTCCAGGACCTCCAGTGTATTTGGATTTGGTGTACATTCCCAACCACAGCAATAGCAAGAACGTCGACGTTGAGTTTTTCAAGAGGGTGCGGTCATCCTACTACGTGGTGAGCGGGAACGATTCTGCAGCTGAGGAGCCAAGCAGGGCTGTTCTGGACTCCCTGCTGGAGGGCAAGGCACAGTGGGAGAGTAACATGCAGGTAGGTTCTTCACTAGTGTCTCTACCTGGAAATTTAACCTTTTCTAGGAAGCAACTAAGGGAAGCCAGAGTGCCTCTGGAGTGGACAGCCGCTGCCCGGAAATGGGGTCCCCAGGCTGGCTATCTCGTTTCACTGATGATGTGAGAGGGCACCCGAGCGAAGCACAGAGCTGCACTGCGCTCAGCCACTCCCCATTTCTGACCCTTCTGACTTGTTCCCGGTGAATAAAACAGTTGGGAGCTGGTTTACAGGGCCGTTTGGCTGTTTCTTCTTCTTACTATACCAAACCAAGTTTGGAAAAATTGCAGTTTGTAAGTAGGAAAGACAAGTAGCTGTTTCATGGTTTATATGGTGTTGCGGTGTAGCCCTAGCTGGCAGCTCACCATCACGCAGCTGCTCGCTCACTCCCGCCCCCCCCCCGCCCTTCTCCCTAGTGGGATGGGGAGGAGAATGGGAAGACAGAAGCAAACCCCGTGGGTTGGGATAAGGGCAGGTTACTGGGACAGCAAAGGGGGAAGGAAATAACAACAGCAGCACTTATAACGGAATATACAAAGTGTGTGATACACAATGCAGTTTCTCACCTGACCCTAGACACCCAACCAGTCCCCCAGCTGCCACTCCTCCTCAACTGGCCCCCTTTATATGCTGAGCATGATGTCATATGGTATGGAATATCCCTTTGACTAGTTCAGGTCACCTGTCCTGGCTGTGTCCCTTACCAGCTTCTTGTGAAAATTAATTCTATCCTAGCCAAAAAACAGGACATATGGTAATCACGTATACTTGGAAACTTCATGCACCTTTCTATCATGATCAATAAGTAAACAAAATATTTGGCCATAATCTGAAGGGCTATCAGTGCAGACTACAGAGTGCTACTTCTCTGGAAAGCTGCTTCTCACCACCTTACAAAGCCAAGATTTTATTTTGATAAACTACTTCTCTGCAGTAATTTTACCTTACCTACATGTTTATTTATTTCCTTTTATCCATCCATTTATTAAAGTATTTATTGCATAAGGACTCACTCTT